GCCCCCACCGCCGCACCTCCCCTTCTCCGCCCCTCCCGGGTGCAAGCTGAGCGCCCCACCCGCCCCTGACCTCCCCAAGCCCCTCCTCTGGACCCGCCTCTTCCCGAGATGGGACCCCTACACACTCCCGGGGGGCTGTCACCACACCCCACGAGTCCCACTAGGGCCTCCCGAGTGCAAGTTCACCCAAGTGGTGACTTTTTAGGGACCCTCTTGCTCGTCTCGCAGAGGCCTTCTGGGGCTACCCGCCCCCTGTCCAGTCGCTCCGACGTGGCTACTTTGCGGGCTGGGCTGTATAAAGGGCTGGAGGCAGCTCGACGCAAACCAGAGACGTGGCGCTTCGCCTAGGCCGGCCTAGGCTCCAGGTATGTGCGCGCCCCTCGGCGGATCACGGGTGGGGAGAGGGTAGGAGTTTACGATTCAGTTCTTGAGTTCTTCCGTGTCATCCTGAGAAGGCTGGGGAGGGGGGCGAGGGGCTCTCTGCGGATTCTTGCAAGCGAGTTAGGCCCAGGAGCCTCTCAGCTAATTCGGGTTTACATGACGGGGTTAGATCAGACAAATGAACCAATCTGCCATCCAGGGAAACTGAGCTCTTAAGATGTCCCCAAGTGGCCCTGATGGCATTAGGAGAGAGTTTCTTCATGGACAGAGCCAGCTGAGCTAATTTTCACTTCTGCAAGGATATTTGAGCCTTACCGAGTGAGCATCGGGCAAAAAGTTTATATTGGAACAAAAAGTAAATCTCCTTGGCAGGGCAGTTTTATTGACGCGTTGCATTGCTCAGTTCTCCTTCTAAGGAAGTGATCAACTCCCGGGGTTTTAAACAACATGTGGGGTTGTTGGATGGGAAAGTTACAGGAAACATGGGTTCCTAACCCTGTAGCCACCTGTGACCCCTTCCCTCACATAGGATGGGGCGACAGAGTCTTCGGTCTGGTCCCTCTCCCCCCCCCCCCCCATCTTGGGCCTTGTTGGTGGCTTCAGGATTTTTGGCATTAAGGAACCTCATCAGTGACTCTTAGCTGCAGGACCTAAGGATGTCCCTTTGGGCCACATTCACACCCTGGTAATGGGCAGGTTGAAAATGTGCTGGGGATGAGGGGCAGTTCAGAGTGTCTGTAAGGGTGCCATTGTGCTAAACAGAGACCCGATAATAGCTGGGATGTGTCCCGGCTCTTCCGGGACCACAGAGATTCAAGAGAAGGACAACAGAAGCACAAATTGCCACCAATTTGTCGTTTCTGTCACCTTTCAAATGAACGAATGAAATGAAACTATGTTTGAAAGCATCCTTGGGAGCCTATGCCAACCCCAGAGTGTACAGTGTCCCGAACTGTGGGCCCGGAGACTACTAAAGACCCCACTTGGATGTCTTCCGGGGCTTCTTTGGGAAGCATCCCCTCACAGTTGTTTGGCTGGCTTCTAGCTCTCCGGGGCAGCTCCTGGTTTCTGGGTCTTGGAGAGAAAAGTTAATGGGTTTCCTCTGCTTCTCCCTGCTGCTTCAGAAGTGGGTGGGAACTGGCGCCATTCCCAACATTCCCCTTCCCTAGCCTACGTGGCACAACAGCCTGAGAGGCTCTTGGGAGGAGGCCTGCCAAGGGCCAAGGTCTGGCAATGGAGGACCTCAGCCTTACCCTTGAATCCAATAGCCTTCAGGTGGGCGGGTGGAACCTAACAGGGTAAGACTCAAATGTGTTTACTTAATTCTTATCCTTACCCCTCGATGCTACTGTCAAAGACAATTAGCACTTTTTTAAAAATTATTTTTTTAAGAAATAAAAAAGTGAGGTGCATCATGCCCATGTACCCAGCACTCTGGCGGCTGAGGTAGAATGATTGAGAGTTTAAGGCCAGTTTGGGGTCACCTAAGGAGACCCCATCTTATATAAACTCACAAGCAGGCAAAGAGACTCACTCTTCACTTGGAGGCTTAAACCCTGTGCACCATGGGAATGGTCACACAGACTCTCACCCTCTAAATGAGGTGACTCTGTCACCGTGGCAGGAAATGGGTTCGGCTTTGCTGTTTAGAGAACGACACTGCACCGTCGTTAAAACTCATCATTAGTGATAATGAATTAGGAATCTCTAATAAGCCAAGAGCAGAAACCGGATTCGCATGGAGAAGGCTTTCTTGGTTTAAAGGGAAATAGCTCTGGATTGAGGATGATTTCTGTCACTGACTTGCAGAAAGTTTGTGAACTTTTCTGAGCTAAATGTTTCCTGGTGCAACTTGACACAGCTCACCAGGAACGTTAGTTACAAGCAATAAAGGAGGAAGAAAGCTGTTAAACGTGAAATATCCGAGGCTCGGCACCAAGGAGGCACTCTGAAATGAAATTGTTTTAAAGTGTATATAAGAATTTCCTTTTCCTACTAAAATTTGATTTTTTCCTTTTAGAAAAGCCTTTCTTGTTAAGGTACCTGAATCATCAGATTGTAAAACTAAACGTGATTCCTATTTTACCAAGGGCATTCTGTTGTCATCGCAATGAACCGCTCCCCCCCCCCTCTCTCTCTCACACACACACATACACACACACTCAACTGTGTCAGGTGAGCCTTGTGTACAGGTCAAAATTGAGAAAAGGTGTGAACAAAAGAGTTGGTGAAAATGATGACTTCTGGGGCACTGATTCATGTGACCTGAAACATGCCATCCATTTCCTGATTCACCTCAGACTCTGGTCAGAAACACGAAGCAGCACGTGATTTTGAACTAATGCAACAATTCTGTGTTATCTCTACATTCCCTCCCAGGGCCTGATTACATCCGGAGAATGGAGCAGGGAGGAGCTGAAGAGATCACGGCCTGGGAGACATGAAGACACAGCTCTGGACCTCAGTCGGCTCTCCCAGCAAGGCTCCCTAACTGGGGACTTTGAAATGTAACAAGACTACTAAATTGTATTTTTTTTAAAAAAAAAATGCCTGGAATCATGTTTTCTTGTATAGATGAACCCGGTAGATATTACAGTAACCATTTGAAAAATTTTCACCCTGATTTCCAAGATTGTCTGCCTGATCCTGTACTTTTTTGTTTGTTTTGTTTTTGACAGGGTCTCTCTGTGTAGCCCTGGCTGTCCTGGAACTCACTCTGTAGTCCATGCTGGCCTCCAACTCAGAGATCTGCCTGCCTCTGCCTCCCAAGTGCTGGGGGACTAAAGGCCTACACCACCATCGCCTGGCTAATCCTATCCATTTTAACACAGCTGAACACTGTGCAAAGAAGTGAAGCTCGATGTCACTGTAGAATTGCTCAGAGCTGCTCCCCATTTACTTATGTTGTAGTATTCAGAAGACCCACAGTTGTAGTTACAGATTACTCCATGATGGCCACCCGTGGATGTCTTCACAGATGAAGGCTCTTGTACTGGAGAGGTTGAGAGAACTCTCAATGCCTTCTCTAGTCTCTTGGCCTTCACTAAAGCCCCTTACGGCTTCCTTTGCCCCAAGAAAGCTCTCTCCCCTTCAGTGACCATGCCCTGGGTGATGTTAAGGAGACTAGACATCCCTGGAAGCTGTGATCACACACAAGTACACACACACACACACACACACACACACACACACACACACACACACACACGAAGGAGCATTAAAGATTATGATACAAAGATTCTTGGTCCTTAAGGTAAAGTTCCAGCTGTTCCACTCTGCTAGGGTGTGTGAGGGACCCTCCAGCATCGCCCCCTCCACAGTCTAATTTCTACCTAGGATCTACCTTGGTTTCCTAAGGCTAATCAGAAGGATGTGACCATGGATTTTGTCCCTGGTTATTCCTAATGTGACACAGAGTCACCTGCCTCCACCTACCTCAAGTGAGTTCTGCTTACTTGTGACCTCTCAAATTCAACCCACACTAAGCAGGGCGTTCTTTCACCTCATAGCCATGTTCAGCAGCCTGGTTAGGTGTGTGGGCCACAGCACTAAGTAGCTTCAGGGTGTACCCAGACATACCCTCAGGAAAATGTGTTTGCTTTCTGGATGGGGGTGGACTTCATCTCCAACGGTTATGTGTTCCTTGACATGTTCAATGATATTTCAAGTGTTCAGCAGGGCGTCGCAATTTACTTCTGCTATATTTCCAGAAATCAAAGCATTCTAGAAAACTACAAGTATTTTGTTTATTGTGGCTGGGTTTCTAGATATGTTTTCTGGCAACCCAATTTCCGTAAGATGAAGCTGGTGCCCTCGAAGCAGTTCAAGTTGTCTTTTAGAAGCATGGTATGGGGAGAGGAAAAATGCTAAGTTTAAATGATTTTTGGAATATCTACAGGAAAGGCAGATGGTTTCTGGCATGAAGATAAAGCATCATTTTAGTTTCCTTGGAGTTATTTTCTGACATCCAGACTCATATGTCTTGAGTGTTTATAAGCAAAGAGTGGCTGTACTTACTTTAGAAAGATATTTTGACTTATTAGCTAATGTCTTCTACATTCTCCTGTCTTTGAGAAACTGGGCTTTGAGGGGACATAAATAGTTTCAGAAATATATTTTAAACATATATTTAGATTTTGAAGCACAAATTTCTCTGTCCTGGTTTATTTCAATATTTACCAACTGAATTTAGCATAATGACCTTGGATTCAATAAAAGGGATATTTGTAGAATTAAACCAAAGGGGGCATGTCTTCCCAAGCAAATTAGGAGGAATAAAGGCTGTTGGGATCTTGTAGCCCTTTGTCAAAATTTATTTATGACCTTCCTTCCCATTCCCACTATTACTGCCTTAATTCAGCATGTCAGTTTCTCTCATTCCAAATACCAACACCTCATCTAATTCTAACAGCAGTCATTGCTCCTCAAACTGCATCATCCCCTAACAAACATCGTCTTTAATGATATAGGACTGGCTTTATTTGAATTGCAAAATACTTGGTTTTTTAAAAACAAACAAACAAACAAAAAATACATGCAGCTGGATGAAGCCTTGCTATTCAGTTGGGGACAAGGTGAACACTGGGTGAGGATCTGTGCAGATGTAAACTCACAGATGTGATTTTTTTTTTCTTTCCTACCTGATTCTGCTCAGAACTTACTGTGGTGGCTGAATTACGGGCACTATCTTAACTTGAAACCAGATATAAGCTAGGAGCCAAGATGATAGTGAAAAGGAATCTTAAATCCTGGGGCCCCTAGCAGCTCAGTGTTCTTAACCTTGATTGTTGACTTGACTGTACTGAGAAGAGATGGGGTGGGGGTGAGTTAACAAAATCGACCTGTGGGTGTGTCTGGGGGGAATTTCCGAGGACAATGAACTAAGGGAGAAAGACCCACAATACTGGCTAGTTTCTATTGTCAGCTGGACAAACACTAGAGTTGCCTGGGAAAAGGACACCTCAATTGAAGAACTGCCTCCCTCAGATTAGCCTGTGGCATGTGTGTGAGGTATTTTCTTGATGAATGAGTAAGACAGAAGGGCACAGCCCACTGTGGGTGGTATCATCCCTAGGCAGGTGATCCTGGACTATATAAGAACGGTCGCTGAGCAGAAGCCAGAGAACTAGCAAGTCAGGAATACTCCTTCACGGTCTCTGCTTAAGTATCTGCCTCCAGGTTCATGCCTTGAGTTCCTGCTCTCACTTCCCTGCATGAGGAACTAGAAATGTCAGAGGAAAGAAACACTTCCACCCCAGTTTCCTTTTGATCGTGGTGTTTATCACAGAAAACAAACTAAGAGTCTCCCCAGACAGCATGGTGTGATTTACTCCACTTTGTCCTCCCCAGACTGCATGGTGTGAGCTATCTCACCTTGTCCTCCCCAGATTGAGAGGTGGAAACCTCTCAAACTTGGAGCAAAATCTTTCCTCTTTAAAACTTCTCTCAGGTTTGGCCACTATGGCAAAAAAAAAAAAAAAAAAAAAAAAAAGGCAACTAACACCAACCCTTGAGTTACTTCCTGTTGCGTTCCATCCATCTGCTCAGCTTTGGATCTGGGAATGCCGGATGCAGATCTGGAGAGAGGGCACCAGCAAGTCTGAAACGTATCCCTAAACGTTAGCCCCAGGCCTCCCCTCCATCCTCTGTTCTGACTTTCCTGACGTTAGCAAGCTCACCGCAGAACACTGCAGGCATTCAGCTGCACTCTAAGGACACAGGTGCCATAGCCAACCCTCTTTGAAGGAAGAAGCACAGGAGCGCCATAGCCTGCCCTGCTGGGGATTATGAAGCTCCTTCCTAACAGTAGACCAATACCACCGGGTGGTTCATTGCTGTCCTTATTCTGCAGTCCACAAAGCATTAAGACATCGACACAATTCAGCCAAAACCTTTGTCCCCTTTTAACAAGGATTCCTTCCCTCCTGGTTCCAACAGCTTCCTCATTGCCCTCTAAGAATTCGTTACAGTGAGCTTACCTTCCAGAGTTCCACCAACATTCTGTTTAGGCGAAACACGCGCACATGAAATTTCTATGGTGCAGCTGGAGCGTCACAGAAAAAGGTAGCAATAGACACGTTAAAGAAACTGAATCAGGCTCAGTATGTGGCTTTAAAAGTCAGAAAAAGAACAGAGCAAGATGTGGTCCTTAGTATTCCATTAGTGGACTAGACTATAAAGGTTAATAGATTGCAAAGATACAATGTATTAAAATCTGTTTCGTTTTGTTGTTTAAGACAGACTAACACAACAGGAAAACCTCTGGCAACCTACATACTTTCCTAGAAAAACTTGAATTCAAATCAATGTATAACCACTTAATACGTTCCCAAGAGAAGATCGGGGAACACCTGGGACCGGGTCCTTCAGTGTAGCCTGTGGAAGAAAGGAAGACATTTTCAATTCACCATTAATTCTTATTTTATAAATGGTAAAAGAGTTAAGAGAAGGATCTTTCTTGTGGATGCTTCTCTTCAACACTGAAATGATGGTTTTAAAGAGTAGTGTAAATTTTTAACTGGAGATGACACAGTGATCTTCCAGGAATGGGCAGATTATTAGGCTTAAGAGAGCAGTTTGAAAGACTTCCACCACAAGTGAACTTAGAAAGCCTCAACATGGCCTGAATGAACCAATGTAACAACCAGTTGGTATGTTGTATCCTGAACAATCTCTGCGTTCATCATTTCATAAAATACTGAATATCTCAGTCAATCTTTTCTATGAAACTTAAGACCTATAATTATTAAGCAAAGCCAGAGTGAAATTCCATAAAGAAGGGAATTTCTATGGAAGATGACTAAGGTCAGTACAAGCTATTCAATAGTGTTTATACAGTTAAATAAGGTAAGATACTGAAATATGGGTCCAGGGGGCAACAAAGAGAACAATATAGCAGAGAATCCATGAGTGGCCAAGCTAGGCTTTTAAACAAAGGTGGCTGTAGCTTGCAGGGGAGAAGAGAGACTCAACGCCAGAGTCTAAGGTGACTGGCTCTCCAGATGTAGAAATATTGACAGAGTCGTTTCCCTCAAGCCATCCTTTCAAAGAGCTTCAAAGTAGATTAAAGCAAAAATTAAAACAAAACATTAAAAATACTTAGGAAAACACATAAGCAGCTATCCATATGACCTCTGGCTAGGGAAGCACTTCTTAGAATAAGACACAAAGACTAGTCATAAAGAAAAATCAATGCAGTAAACCACAGTAAAGTTTAGAACTTCCAGGCAAGGATACACAACTTAAAAGCAAGCCCTGGCTCTAGGGAACTTTCAGAGCACACAAATAACAAAAGGTGGTAGGCAGTGTATGTTCCCAATCTCCAGTCAACCCACTGGAAAAGAATTAAGCCATGTAAAAATGTACAAATGTAACAGGCATTCAATTGCTAACAGGCATAATAGTATCATGCAACCCCTTCCCCAAATCACATAAGCCAACTAAAATAAGGGGCCATTTAATATCAGTCAGACTGGCCACAATTAAGAAGTCTGGCAATATAAGCTGTCATCAGATATTGGCAAAAACGACTCTGGAAGTGAGTTGTTATAATCTCTTGGGAAGGCATTTTGGGGACTCCTGCAATGTTGAAAATGCACATTCCATTGGGCAAAGGGGACATGGAAACTATTGTCTGTTTATTAATAAAAACTAATCCCAAATAACTTACCTGAATAATTTATGGATAAATGCACCATAGTTAAGTGGCCCAGACATGATGGATGCTAAACTTGTGACTTCCAGTTCTAAAGAGAAGAAAAATTGTAGAGAGGTAAACAAAGGCCCCCAATTTTAGATGTGATCTTGTTTTTCCATTAATATAAAAATGAGAAATAGTGCAGATATTGAAAATGTTAAGATCAAACAGGGCAGCTTTGGTGGACGCTCATTAGATTAGTGCCCTTTTCTGAATCCTCAAAAGATTTCTTAATTCAATAAAGAGGGTTAATGGGAAGAAAGGAAGCACAGAGAGTCGGTGCAGGAAGCTCGTTAAAGTGGTTTTGTCCTGAAGAAAAATAAGGAGTCTGTAGCAGCTGGAGAGATAGGCACACAGAGGGCTAGTTTATAAGTGGGTCACTGGCAGAATGTTTTTACATTGCTTGACATGCTTCTATGGACAGGGTCAAAGTATGTAGGAAAACAAGGTAATCCCAGGACAAAGGCCTTGCTGAGCTAAGAGGCGATAGGATTTGTGTTTGGAGGGAGCAGGATCCTCCTAGAATTACCAAAAGAAAGTGGAGCAGGTGGAAACCAAGCTGAGGTGGGGATTGAATCTTTATCGATGCACGTAGAGACCTGATCCTCTGAGGACTTCTGTTTCCCTCACATGGCATGAGCCAAAACTTTCGTGGGGAGCAGCGAGCAGGTATGAATGTTAGAAAAGAGAACAGGAACTACAGAATAAACACGGTGCACATCAGGAAAATACACTTCCTGAGGAGCCATCCTGGAGTCTCCACGGATCCAGTGATACTCATTGTCTTTATCTCTAGATGAACTCCATCAGCAGCCTGGTGGGTTCGGTCCAGCAACACTAAACACCTCCACTATGTACAGGTGGAGGTATGGGGATGATAGAATCCAGCCAGAAGATGATTTACTCAGATAACAGGCAAGAGCAGGGACACTGAGGAAGTGTGTGAGAAGTACTCTTAGGAACATCATGCAACATGCACTAGCACTTACACATCCAGAGGCACAACAGGTGATGCTGTCAGTGGTTGGAATGTGGAGCTGTAGCTGAGATCTAGGAACTGTTGTCATGGGAGTTCGGAATTCCAAGATCTAGCCCTGCCAATGGGAGTTACCAAGGAGAGGTTGGTGTTGTTGAGAGTGATGGGTAACAAATTGGTCTTGGAAGAGACGACAGACATCTCAGATGTAGGATTAGTATTGACGTTAAGCTCTCTAAGAGGAATCTTTAGTGAGTGACTATGGCATTGAAGTTCAACATATAATCATCACAGACAAAATCATTTTATAATTTTGAGTGTGTGATTCAGAGGGGGAAAAGGCCTCCATGAAGTAAACCTTAAACCCAAGGAAGACAAAAGTATCTGGTTCTAACTCCAAACCACACATCCTTGCTACTATACCAACTAGCATCTACAAGTCTCAACATGGTAAACTTTAAAAAGCATACAATGGAATTTGATGTTAATCTCCAGTGCTGCTTTGGCAGAGAGAGTGATAAAGCTTACCCGATTGGACTGATTAGAAGTATCTGGAGACTTTCTCCAGCCTTCAAAAGCCATGGCTGTCTTCGTACACATTGAGTCAGTCTCTGTGGGATGAGGCCCAGACCTGTGATTTCAGAATTTGACAAGCATGCTTGTTAAAAAAAAAAAAAAAATCACTTGCACAGGTCTGCATCAGACGGGGTCCTAGAGCTGAGAGATGTGGGCACAAGCCCCTATCCCTAACCTCCCATTGGTAATAACCACTCAAAAATGAAAATTTAGTTTTCTCCAAAGGAGTCTCACAGGGAAACAAACTGTTCTTGAAGGTAGGCACCCTTAAGAGTAAATGACCCACAGAAAATGAATACAATGGCATTTTGAGGTTTATAAACCTTGTCTCATAAAGTCATGTCAAAGCTTTCTATTTTATTTCTACCTTTGTTTATTTATTTATTTATTTATTTATTTACTTACTTACTTATTTATTTGTTTACTTACTTATTATTTTTACCTTACAGGTTTTGCACTTATACATTGGTTTCTTGTTTTGAGTTTTTACATGATTCATGAATGTGCGAAGGAGCCTGTCTCTGTATCTGTATCTGTTCCTTGTGTCTTTTCTTGAACTCTTTTCCTCGTTTGTTTGTTTTGTCCTATTCCAATGCACTCGAATTTTGTTTTAATCTTATTGCATTTTATTTTATTAGTATCCATTTGAAACCCGTACATCTTCTAATGAAAGACAAGAAAGGGGTGGATCCAGATGGGAGGGAAGATGGGGAAGAGCTGGGAGGAGCAGAGGGATGGGGATCGATGAAATGTCAGGGAAGTATCAGTCTTTCATTTATTGATAGCAAACATGTATGGAGTATTCTCCGGTGGGCGGGCTATGATGCGAAGGTCTAAAAGACTGACCTCCCACATTGACTGACAGTGATGGACCCTTTACCTGTCATCACCTCACAGGAGAGTGCACTGAAACACAGACTGTGTAATTCCCAGGCTAGACCCCTGAGACGTGTAGATAGAAGCCGTCAGCCACACTGCTGGCACCAAGGACCAGGTCCTCACCACCTCCTCTGCATGAGATCAGGGCTGGCAATCATTTTCCATCAAGGGCCAGGAAGTAAATATTTTAGGTTCTGTGAGTCAGACAGTTTCTGTTGCAACTCTAGACAATATGAAAACAAATTACATTCTAATAATAATTTATTTTTAAGAACATGCCAGATTTGGCCTCTGGTTACAGTATGTTGATCCCAGCTCTAGATCAAAGGTTCTAAAACTCCAGAGTACTTTAAAGTCATAGGAAGGGCTTATTAAATTCAGATTAGTGTCTGACAACTTCCCCTGGTTCTGATGTATTCAGTCACAGACAAGTCCCCAGATTATCTGTCTTTAGCCTGTCTCTAGGACATGCTGGTGCTCAAGATAGATGTTCGGCTTTCACAACCAGGGTGTCTGCTCTGGAGACAGAGACAGGAGTTGGTCCTCTTGGTACTCAGAGCCCTCGATACAGGGACTGCTGTGTATGAGCCACTCAAGATTTACTTATGGAAAAAAAATAAAACGACTGACCATATTGCAAGGCTAGATTGTTTCCAACTATTTCAAAATGTGCCAAAAATACCAAAGCTCCGGGCACACTGTACTAACTCAGAGAATGCCATTCCCCAGTGTGGGGAACTCATTTGTGTCATACAACAACTTATTTTTCCTACCTCACACATTTTAAGAAAATCCAAATTTTTCCTACAGTCTTAGGTCATGTCCAAGTTGCATTTATGCATTGTGCAAAGTTCTGATTCCACAAAAGAAGCCTTTGCCCATGAGACATTGTTCCTCAGAGACTGGGGACAGAGGGAATGGAAACTTATAGGATTTCACAGAAGGCATCACTAGGACAGGCAAACAGGGTTTTCATGTTGTGAGACTGGAACCAGGCTGGTTAGACACATCTACAAATTGCTTAGTGTCAAACATGACCTAAGGGGCACCTGTGACCCATGGTTCATTTTATTTAGGAAAATGGATGAGAAATTAAAATATCCTTTAAGCTACTTTGATTTAGAAAGAGGAAAATTATCATTTGCTTTCAAAACATGAGTTCCCCTGTCCCCTCATTTTGAGAAAAAGTGAGCATCAACACAGAGTGAAAAGATAGCACATTGTCTTTCTTCCACATGGATGGGGCTTTCCTGTGTCTACTGCTAACATGAACTGAAGAAACACTCCCAGCACTTTAATTTCATTTTATAATGAAAGGGAAAATGTAGCTGAAGATTTCCTGTGTCCCGGCCTGCTGGTGGTCGGGACAAATCTCTCCCACTTGCATCCCCCAAGTAAACACACAGAGGCTTGTATTAATTATAACTGCATGGCCATGACTCAAACTTTTAGTTATCTTAAATTAGCCTATAACTATTAATCTATGTATTGCCACATGTTACATGGTTTTACCTGCGTCTTATTACATGTTGCTCCTTGCTGGTGTCTCTCCCCACCCCGCCCCTTCTTCCTGTCTTTCTCTTTTAATTTCCTACCTGCCTCTAATCTGCCTTGCCATAGGCCAAAATGCTTTGTTTATCAACAAATCAGAGCAGTGTACACATATTCACAGCATACAGAAAGTCATTCACTTAACTTCTAAACTCTTTTATTCCAAAGTCAATGGGTTACATTCTTGAGATCAGCAAACAGATAGAACTAAAGACAAGAATATAAAATTGTGAAGTTACAGAATTAACACTACTTTGTCAGGGTGGGATCTGAGCTCTAGGAGGCACTTTCAAGACTATTGATCCTCAGTCTCATCATTCTTGAGAGAGTATCAAGGCTGGAGCAACTGCGTGTCCTTCCTGGCTTTGCAGATCTAACTAGGGGCAGAGCTCAATCAGACACCAGATGCTTGGCCTCCTGGCAAGTAAACTGTTCCTCCCCCAGCCCTCCAAACTGTCCTCATCAATGCCTCATGCAGGCAGTTCACTTTTATCCATTTTTGTCGATATTAGTTACCATCCCCATTGCTGTGGTTAAAGTAACCCAATAAAAGCATATTCAAGGGAGAAAAATGTTTATTTTGGCTCAGAGTTCAAGGGCAAAACCTATCATGTCAGGAAAATCTTGTCGGTAGGAACTGAGGCTGGTCACATGGCATCACCAGTCAGGGCACAGAGAGGGGTGAATGCTTTGCTCAGCTCATCTTCTCCTTTCCTGCAGTCTGAGACCCCAGTCCATAGAAACAGTGCCTCTCACTCCCACCTCAATTAACCTGGCCTAGATAATCACTACTGGCCCTCCAGAGACGTGTCTGTCACCTGTCTCGTGATTCTAGATCATGTCAAGTGGGCAATCAATATTAATCATCACACTTTCTAATATACAACTCTGTGTATGAGAGGAAGCAGAAGGAAAGAAGGAGGAGGAAGAGTGGACCCAGAGTTGCTGTGGTATAAGAGGCCATTCAGATATCTGTGCCTACCTTAGATTTATGTAAAGAGCTCAGCCATCCCACAAGATGGAGGTGATCCTAACTTCACAGCTCACTACTGATTTCCCTCCAAGTGTGTCATCTCCACATGGGAGGCAGCATTCTCCATGAGGTCTATGGTTGCTACTCTTAGTCTAGTAACTACAAACTGATGCAAGGATTCAGTCCAGGCATTAAAGTCACTGTGTAATAGTGTGTGTGGGGGGCACCTCAACTGATAACCAAGCTTTCTGAATAGACCAATGCCAACATTTTGCTTAGCCTTTAGGTTCTGCCACCTAGCAATCTACAATGGAGCTCTCTGGAAGAAGAAACTTGTGCACTGGCATCCATGAGCTCCCACTTGTGTGCTGGATATATCCTGCTGGTCTACTGACCTTCGGGTACCTGGCCAGACACACCTTTTCTCTACTCACCTCAATGTATCCTTTTCTGTCCACTGTCTGAATGCTTCATTAGCTTCACCAAGCTGGAATCAGAAGCAACTGGTCGAATTACCGTTGCAGTCAGAAAACAGAGACCTGACAGGAAGTAGGGCCAGGCTGTCTAACATCAAGGCCCACCCCCAGAGATTCACTTCCTCTGGCAAAGCTCTACCTCCTAAAAATTCCAAACCAGAGCCACTAGCTGGCGCCCAAGTGTCCAAACCCATGAGCCAATGGGGAACATTGACAATTGTTTTGATGGCTGGCAATTTCATCATCCCTCACATTGATTACATTATACACAACAGGCTAAGCCAGATCAAATTGCTAGTATCTCATATGGCTTTACTTCTGCAGAAAGGGCTTTCATCTGGTTTGACCCACTTCATTATACCTAAGTTATTCCATTATATGGAAAGCCATTTTGCCTGGTTGATCAGAAATTAGAGTTGACTTTTTATCCCATGTAGGCAGTGGGGCTGTGCAGAGCTACAAGGGCCTTAAGTGATATTTCTATGTGAGCACAAATGGGTTGACTTTACAGTTAGTCTGATATTTTTAGAATAATGCTTCTGCAGTAATCAATCTAAACCATCAATTTACAGAGTCATGTTAGA